CCGCCGCTTTAAAAAATGATGGTTTTATAATTTTTTTCTAAATCATAAGAATCTTGTTCGATAAAATTGTATACAATAACTAATAAATTTAATAATTTTACCACATAAAAGTAGTTCCAGTAATTAATTTCGTAAAGGACTAATATAAGAATTTTCTAATTTTCCTAAAACAGGAAAAAACTACATCTCTCATAATTAGCGTAGACAATAATTGAATAACACTAAAATCTGAGTCAAACCACGTCAAGTGGGACCAGAAAATTTCACGAAATCACCGATTTTGAAAATAATCACATTATTGTGTAGTAGGCATAACTCATATGTCACAGTAAAAAAATTGTCTTAAAATTCGTTTTTTTGGTAATGTTATTAAGGTTGACAATTTTGTCAAACTTTAGAGCACGGTAAAATTGAAAAAATAGAATCTCTGGGACCACTCTGTATAATTGAATTAAATTTTACACACTATTGTAGAAATGTTTAGAGTATATAATGATCATTTAATTAAGGTTAATTTGTTTAAATAAAAGAATTTTGCATACATTTATTATAAACAATTGAAATTTTGTATGTGTTCTTCACGCTGAAAAAAAATTAATCTTGTGTCATAATATGCGGCAAACGTTTCCGTTTAATAAGATGTACTCAAAAATTTGCCTTTCATATGTCATTCCGGAGATATTAATTTTTTTGTCCCGCTGTGCACTTGATCAGTACGCGGCGCGCTTCGCTGCTAGCTCGTCAGACAAAAGATCATTTTAATTGTTAAAAGCATTAAAAATTATCTTTTGTCCTTTATTACCTATTAGTGTAGATACGGCAGTTTTGCTTAACAGGGCAATATAGGTCATGTGATATCTTTGGGATTTTTTACAAATTCGTTTTGAAAATTAAAAGAACTTTGGAACAAGGTAGGCACATGAATGGAGATGGAATTTTAGTTTGCTAATTTTATATAAATAGGTACCTAAATAGGGTTTTTCTTGTTTTAGGTGAGAAAATTATTAAATTAGGTACATAGGTACTTAAAATTAAATATAATTTATTAAGTTTGGTACCTGTAAAATAAAATTTTAATAGTGAAAAGCAACTTTTAGGTGGTAAAATTATTAAATTTATTATTGTGCACATATTTTATTAATCAAGATTTTTATGATTTAAAAAAATTGAAAATAACTAATATATCTTGTAAAATTATTAAATGAGAAAGTATTTTTTTAAACATTTCCATTATTATAAATGTAAATTTTTTGTTGGCAGCCTATTTACAAAAACATTTTGAATGTGCCGCCGCTTTAAAAAATGATGGTTTTATAATTTTTTTCTAAATCATAAGAATCTTGTTCGATAAAATTGTATACAATAACTAATAAATTTAATAATTTTACCACATAAAAGTAGTTCCAGTAATTAATTTCGTAAAGGACTAATATAAGAATTTTCTAATTTTCCTAAAACAGGAAAAAACTACATCTCTCATAATTAGCGTAGACAATAATTGAATAACACTAAAATCTGAGTCAAACCACGTCAAGTGGGACCAGAAAATTTCACGAAATCACCGATTTTGAAAATAATCACATTATTGTGTAGTAGGCATAACTCATATGTCACAGTAAAAAAATTGTCTTAAAATTCGTTTTTTTGGTAATGTTATTAAGGTTGACAATTTTGTCAAACTTTAGAGCACGGTAAAATTGAAAAAATAGAATCTCTGGGACCACTCTGTATAATTGAATTAAATTTTACACACTATTGTAGAAATGTTTAGAGTATATAATGATCATTTAATTAAGGTTAATTTGTTTAAATAAAAGAATTTTGCATACATTTATTATAAACAATTGAAATTTTGTATGTGTTCTTCACGCTGAAAAAAAATTAATCTTGTGTCATAATATGCGGCAAACGTTTCCGTTTAATAAGATGTACTCAAAAATTTGCCTTTCATATGTCATTCCGGAGATATTAATTTTTTTGTCCCGCTGTGCGCTTGATCAGTACGCGGCGCGCTTCGCTGCTAGCTCGTCAGCACACGGTGTGCCTGAACGAAGTTTAAGTCACATACAAATTCCACAGTTTCTTGTTCGGGACCCTTTGGTGACTTAAAAATGATATTTACCAAAATCCTAGCTGCTCCTCTTTTCGAAATTTTTTGAAAAATCTTTTTTCTGCATTATGCTTTTTACTATATAAAAAAGTAATTTTTGTCTAACCCTGTATAAATCTAAGCATATATAAAAACAGTTTCTCTCGTTTACAATATCGGTGTACAAATGTGTACTCTGGCAAAGGTAGACTTTGCTATAAACAAATAATTTTAAAAAAATTGAATTTTTTACAAATTAAAAAAAAACAGTTAGAATTTTGGTAAATATATTTTTTAACTTCAACCAATTTTTCGTTCAAAATTGAAAACTACTAAAAAGCCTAAATTAAACAACATTTTAAATACTCTCTAAGCGTTATTCTATTAAATGTTATTACAAATCTATTTTTCTTGTAAAAGGTTAATAATAATGACATTTTGTAACCTGATAGACCTAGAATAATCTAAAAAAAAATTGGGAATAAATATTTTTCGCGTGTTATGCTAAAATCATGAATTTACGCTTTTGCATTATTAAAAATAAGTGATTTTTGGCTAACCCTGTATATATCAAATAATGTGAACAGTATTAAAAAATATTCTCTAAGTCTCCTAAATAATATACTCCAATTTTATAAAAATCCGTGTGCAAATGTGTACTCTGTCAAAGAGATAAACAAAAATTTAAAAAAAAATCATGAATTTTCGAACAATTTCGAAAAGAGGAGCAGCTAGAACTTTGGTAAATATCATTTTTAAGTCACCAAAGGGTCCCGAACAAGAAACTACAATCAGTTTTTGGCGGCATTTTTATGTGACTTAAACTTCGTTCAGGCACACCGTTAAACCGTTCGAACGGACGAGCTAGCAGCGAAGCGCGCCGCGTACTGATCAAGCGCACAGCCGGACAAAAAAATTAATATCTCCGGAATGACATATGAAAGGCAAATTTTTGAGTACATCTAATTAAACGGAAACGTTTGCCGCATATTATGACACAAGATTAATTTTTTTTCAGCGTGAAGAACACATACAAAATTTCAATTGTTTATAATAAATGTATGCAAAATTCTTTTATTTAAACAAATTAACCTTAATTAAATGATCATTATATACTCTAAACATTTCTACAATAGTGTGTAAAATTTAATTCAATTATACAGAGTGGTCCCAGAGATTCTATTTTTTCAATTTTACCGTGCTCTAAAGTTTGACAAAATTGTCAACCTTAATAACATTACCAAAAAAACGAATTTTAAAACAATTTTTTTACTGTGACATATGAGTCATGCCTACTACACAATAATGTGATTATTTTCAAAATCGGTGATTTCGTGAAATTTTCTGGTCCCACTTGACGTGGTTTGACTCATCTAACAGATATGGGATTTTAGTGTTATTCATGTCACATGACCTATAGTGCTATTAAAGATTTTGAGGTTAGGGTGAGTATCCCCGCTGGGGTAGATCGGAGTGAGTTGAAAGGTGAATTGATTTGCAAAAGCTTACTCTTAAAATGAATTAGTCAAAAATGACTAACAATTATTGTCATAGCGAAAAAGCATCCACTAATAATGCTCATTAACAAAACTTGTATCCTGGGCATTTAGCAATCCATTCCTGTTTTAAAAGTTAAAAGTTTTAAAAGTCGAACAGTTTTTTAGATAGGTAAAGTCAATATTCCATATAATATGGAATTGACTATATCTCAAAAACTGCTCTACTTTCATCATTTTTACGGTATTTTCGGATTCAGGGGACAATTTTAGTTAAGAATTGACTATTAAATGTCCGGGTTACAAATTGCTATGGACTACAGTTGTTAGTGGCTGCTTTTTACTATGAAAACTAGTAATTTCTAAAGAGTACCCATTCGAACCCTTAAAACCAAATATTTGTTGACAGTTTTCAGTGTGACACAAGGTATATTAGTTTCTGTATAGGGCTTTTACTACTCTTATTATTTCGGTTAAAAATAAGGGTGGTAAGTATTTTAAACATAAATTCATGTGCAGTTCAGTTTTAAATTTAATTTATTAATTGATCTTGATTTCGAAATTTTTATTTTGATTTTTTTGATAAACTTAGTACCGTTTTACATAGAGCGTACGACCATGTACTTAAATGGGCATATCGGGCATACATCAAGCCCGTCTTGACGGGCAATTTTTATAAGTATTGTTTATATCGAGAAGTTTCACATGAAAACTGATGGTCTGTGACGTATTATTTTTGTTGTTGTTTTTCTAGCAAACACGTGACCGTTTAGTTATTACTTACCTGCATCATGATTTGTGAGTTATGAGATACATACATTTTTGTTGGTCTTTTCGTAATGTGTATATGGAATATAAGGCAAGCCTTTAGAACATTAGGAGCCTTTTACCAACAAAAAGATGTAGATAAATACTTTATTTTATTTTTCTCTTATCACGTTTTATTAGCCATGTCATGGCAAAGATTCTATTTTGTCGCGACATTACAAATTTAAGAAAAATGGCAACAAAGACTAGTTGGTTAGTCACTTACCGTATTTGACCATACGTTATAAATGTTAAACGATATCGTAGTGTATGGAAAATCGGCATGTATGATCAGTGCTGATGATCTGTCCTGATGATACGTTCCATGTAAAACGGTAATTATAGTTTTATTATTATTATTAGTTTTAAATAAAAACTAATTTTACAAGAGTTTAGGATCTTCAAAATATTAATTTATATTAAATGTTTCAAAGATTGTTATATTAAAAAGTATTGATATTTGTAATTCAATTTAACTTTTATTATCTGTCTTATTTATGTAAACTAATATTAAAAATTTAGATCATTTAAAAATAAATCAACTCCAAAATCCTACAATTTACTATAAGTAAACTTTACAAACATACCTAATTAATTAATGATATTGTTTAAAAACCTACTTTCATTAAACATTCTACATCTTCATCCACAGAAGATTCAGATGAATCGGATAATGACGGTGATGAAACGTTACCAATTAATCCCACAGTTTGCTGTCTTGAAAAGCTTGGACGCCTTTGACGTGATTGAGTTAACCACGAGGGTCTTCTTAAGGATGACGTAGAATAGGTTTCTTCAGGAATGGTGTCGCGAGTTATTGATCTATAACAAAAATTTATGTGAACTTTTTTATCACCACTTTGGAATCACCAAACAGGTAAAAAAACACTTTCATTCTAAAAGGTTTTTATAACTTTGATTAAGTAGTTGTTAGTTTTAGTGTGAGTTTTCAATGTTGTTTACGAAAAGTTATGGTGATCATATACAGGGTGTCCCAGAAGTCGCGCACCACCTTGAAGGTGGAAGAAGGTGGATGATCTACAGACCCCCAGGAACTCCAGAAAATTAAAAAAAAATCTATATTTATTATTTAAAAAGATATGAGAGCGTAAACATTGAGATTTCGAACTTAAAGAATAGGTTTACCTTGATTATACTTTTTTAGAATTTTAAATTACGCATTTGTTTGTCAACATGTTGTGCAACAATTAATTGTGTAATTGTTTGTTATACCATAGACATGATAGATCGAATGATTGACATTAAAATTCAGTATTAGATACTATCATAGAACTCAACGGTCATAGTATTAGTATTAGGATTTATGTTTAATATATTAATATGTATTTCTTTAGTTAGCAGTATTCAGGGGCCGTCTTTTGAGGCTGAAGGGGGGCAGAGGGGGTTTAAAGGACCGAAGGGGAAAGATTTATTAAAACATAACGTGACAAGTATTTTGAATAAAATTGCTGCTTTGTTCCATTTTTAGTCAGATTATTATAAAAAAGAATCGAAAAAAATATTTTTAGGGGGTAGGCAGTTTAATAATTCGTAATATCACCCTTCAGGGGGGACTTCCTTTCGTCACAAGGGAGGAGGAGAGTGTCAATTTTGACAATTTTTAGCGTCACGAAATTTATGGACTGACTAAAATTCAAATCATTTAGTGTGTTTCAAAGCAATGTTATTATTTGTTTAGTTTTACTTGATTTATTTTATGGTTTTATAAGTTTTCTGGCAGGGACTCCCTGTATTTGCTTATATCAAGTCTGACATAAAATAAATAACCGTTAAGTAAAAGTAACGAATTTGACACTTTTTAATGTTGTTGTTTAATATCATGATGATAAAGAATTAAACTACCACTTTATAAGCACGCAATGTTGCCATTTTAGTAAATGTATATTTAGACTAGATTTTTTTAAACAATTTTCTTGGATTCCTTGGGGTTCGTAGATCATAAACCTTCAAGGTGGTGCGCGACTTCTGGGACACCTTTTATAAAATATATTTCGAAAACAAAGTTTTAACTAGGCAGGATGTGTTAAAAATAGCGCACAAACTGTTCCAGGTATACCTTTTTATTTTCTTAAAATTAAAGAGGTGTCCTTCTTTATATAATCTGACTGGAAAAGAGTTAAAATTAATCTTTCGTTTCTATTTCCAAGCAAATTATGATAAATTAATGTTTTCATTATGGGCCAAGAAAAACAGATACAGGAAAGAAAAATGCGAGTAATTTGATATTTTGGTGCTTAAGTTTAAATTTTTTAGGGTAAAAATAATATAATATAGACAATTATTCGACATATTTTAAAAACAAGACCATTTAAAAAAGATATGAAACTTAAGTTTACGTCAAATCTATCAACTATCAATCCCTCAAGATCCTTTACTCATATTAGACTAAAAATAAAAGACTCCCATTCTTTAGATTGTTAAAATCTCAAATAACAATTGATAATATTTTATAACCCTGCTTAAAATACCCCATAGAGACCCTGTTCAAAACGATAGATATTTGTATCGGAATGTAGGTTGTTTCTATAGGGTGTATCGGTATGTATAGGACACATAGTTGGGATTTATGCATAAATGGTTGTTCTATAGGGATATCCACCCTTGATTTATTTGCTATTGGTTTCAATGAGGAAAATACACATAAATGTAGAAATTACTTTTTCCCCCATAGTACCCTATAGGTTTTAATAAAATTTTGTCAAGTGTTTTATGGTTGCTCTATAGGGATATACCCATATATCCTTCATTGAGTTATTTTCTATTGGTCTCAATAGGGAAAATGTAAATGTTATTGTGTGCCTATGGGTAGTTTCCTATACATTTTCCATCGGGCCGTATCCGGAAAAAACCATGGACAAATGCACATATTGAATTCGGTAGCGCCCGATAGATTATTTTGTATAGGTCTCTATGGGGTATTTTAAGCAGGGAAACTGTCAAACAGCATAAAAATGTTTTGGGGTTCTAAGCCGCGTCTCTAGTAATTCGTTTTGACGTTTCGACATAATGCTGTCTTCTTTAAAAAACTAAATGTAAAGAGGTTGGATCAAAAGTTGTGCTTTTTGGTTCGCTGGTTGATGCTTTCCGGTGGGTGATTTTATGCCTTAGTTTAACATATTCTTTCAAACTGGGGCCAATTCGATCCCGTGGTCCTTGTTGAAGTTTGGGAATCTATAGATTTTCTGTATAGTCCTGCCTGGCCTGACAGGACGAAAACTCAGTACCAGGATAGGGGAATAGCAGTCACGAAGAAAAGGAGCACAAGATCGGCGATTGCAGAACACTTTCTGGGCATTCCATAAAGTTTAACCAAACAACAGTCTTATCTAGATGTAAAAAATTTTGGTCAAGACTATACTGCTACTGGAATCGTATACTTATCTGTAATATGAGCTTTATCCGCCTGGTCTATAATGTAGTATTATTATAAATTTATTAAAATGTAATTAAAGTTTTTTTCGTATACGATGGTCTTAAGATTGAAGATTTGATTCTAAACCATACATTTACTGACAAATGCAACTGTAAAACCATATATTGGGTAAAAAATGTTAATACATTAAAATTCCTGGCCTTTTTTTAAATAAAATCCAAATTTTGTTTAATAAATATTATTCTTAAAACTTTAAAAGTATTAATGGTTTGCTGGTCCTGAACAACAATTTAGTTGACTCTAAGCTGGTAGCGAAATGCATTGCTGCCTTGAAGCTTATAACAACAAAGCGAAAATTTGGGGGTCTAGCAGTGCCTAATAAAATATTTTTAAGGTTTAAAATATAACTTTTATTTTTATGATTTTGATTTCCAAAACGGCGGGGGGGTTGAACCCCAGATACAGCACTACTTAGAACTAGTATAAGTTAAATGCGATTTAAAAGCGATAACATTGCGAGTTGTTGATATTTGGTTTCTATGGTAATGCTTTTCGCCTTTCACAGTTGCAGTGACATTTCTACTTGCAGTGTTGTGTAAAATCTTAAAATGACCCAGATAGCAATCGTGCGTCGCACGTAGGTCGCACGACGTGAGAAAGCACACCTGTGGTCGATTTCACACGCATATAAATAGCATAGCCGTGCGCGCCCACGCGATGAGCGCAGTATGAGCGCACGACGTGATCAATGATCTCTTAAACTGTGCTTATCGGCAGTGAAGCCAGATTCTATAAAAAAAAACAGTAGATTTCGTTTTTATTCACCTTATAATTACAAAAATAATGAAATAACGTAAAATTGCAATTTGCATTGTTTCACTAGGTAAGTTCAATTAAAATGACATGCATCAACTGCAATCGGGTTGTGTTTGTATTTTATTTATTTTTCTATTGTGTTTGCTGTGTCCACGTGTTATAGTTAGGTATAAATTGATAAAAGTTATTAAGGATTTCAGGTAAGTGTGAAAAATATAAAGATTAAATCATAACAAGCATTTATGCACGATGACATTATAATATGACAATTATAACAAAAATTCTTTGACGTAAACGTCTTTTTATAGCCCGCGGGCGTTATTATGACCCAGCGGGCTATAATGAAACGACAAAAATTAAAAAAAAAACAATGTTACACCATTTGATATATTTGAAGTAAGTTTTTTCGTATAAAGATTTTGATTTTTCCGGCAGCAGGCCGCAATTTTTCGCCTTTTCAGCTGCTTCCTCAATTTCATTCATCTTTAAACTTGTGTTTATTTTCAAAGGGAACTGGATCATGGGGGTCCCCTGCTCCCATTAAATTGTATCCAATAGGTAAGAGCTATAGCGACAACAAAGTGCTGGAGATTTAGGACCGGATACTTAGCCTTGCTAAGGAGTGGTTCCAGCGGCAAAGAATAATGGACGAAGTTTCGGAACTAATCATCCACCTCGGAGACGACAGTTTCGATGATGAATTTTGAGGAAATAAACATTTTATAAATAAATATTTTTTTCCACCTAAATAAATCATTTCTGTTAATAAATTGTCCCCACGTGGTTACTGATTACAGACATCGGGACAGTTGCTTTGTCAGGAGAATTTGTTCCTTAACAATTGTACAATATAAATACAGGGAAATTTCAAAAAACACAGGCATTTCATTTAAAAAACCAATTCAACTTACTTGAAATGTCGCTCGCCACCCATAATACACGCGCGGGTCCCTTAAAAATGATACGCTACTGACTACCTTACATTTCACGTTTTTTAAACTTATGTCGAGAAATCGGTTTTTGACATTCGACATTGATGACCCAATTTCAAACATTCGCCGCGACGACTAGGTACCTAGTCTAAGCAACTTTAATAATTTTTTACTCAGAAACCAGTCAATTTTTCTAAAACTTTGTAAATGTCTTTTAAGAAATTTTCTCATAGCGACTAATATCTTGCCCGAACCTAAAATGTCATAATGGGAATACATTTATCCTTAAGGAAATAAAAACAGTGGGGGAAAACTGCCAGTGGATCCTAAATTATTTATGGCCCTATCAAAATGCGCCTTAAAAATCCAATTATAAAATAACTCATCGCGGCGAATGTTTCAAATTGCGTCAATAAATTCTGAACCAAGCACAGACATTACAATTATTATTGTTTTATTTTACGTATATAAAAAATAAATTAAATTTCACTTACAAAATAATGTTCCAAATTCTATACTTAGGCCCAGTTGTATAAAAGTCCGATTAACAACAGATTAATAAATTACGGATTAATCAATAATAGCTGGTTAAAGAAAAAAACACTCGGTTATGTTTTAATTAGTTAATTTTCAAATGAAAAATTGTGGTAAAGGGGTATCTAACTTTAGTGGAAAAAAAT